GGAAATTAAGCCAAAGTACAAATATAGTAATTCTGCTAAACCTAGACTACCGAATAATGCGTTTTATTTCACAATAAATAACACCCGAATTCGGGTATGTAAGACTTTCTTCGTTAATACTCTGGGAATATGCGATCGTCAGATCAGAACAGTAAAAAAGAAGACTGATGCACAAGGATTCTTAAATACCGATATAAGAGGTAAGCACGTGTCAAGACAGGCTGTAGATAGATCCAGCACTCATTGAGAATATTAAACAACACATAAACTCAATTCCAAGAATAGAGTCTCATTATTTGAGAGCAGCAACTACCAGAGAATACATCAGTGGGGATAGAACCTTAACTGACATCTGGAAAGATTTTGATAAAATTCAAAAACAAGAAGGTAAACCTTCTTGTGACTATTGGATCTACTATGAAATTTTTACAAAACAATTTAATATTAGCTTTTTTCAACCGAAAAAAGACAGATGTGATTTATGTCTAGACTTGAAGTTGCAACGGTGGATCGGAAAACAAAAATAAAAGATAAATACGATGAGAACCTTAAACAAAAAACAATTTGTGTCGCCAAGAAAAACGCCTAGACCGCCAAAACATCAATGATACATTCATTTACTCTGTTTATGATTTACAAGCCGTCATGCAGTGCCCTACCGGAGACATTTCTTCGTTTTTTTACAAATCAAAACTCAATTGTCTAAATTTCACTATAATAGAATTAATGGCTAAGAAATCAGAAATACCTAAAAAACGTAAAATAAATGAAGAATACAATGACAATGACATAGGTGCTTACAGTGACGTGTACAGCTAATTTTGGGATGAAGTGCAAGGAAACAGGGGAGCTAATGAAATAGGATCGTGTATTCTAGACTATCTGAACAACTTAAATGAACAAAATCCGAATAAAAATCTTCATGTTACTTTTTATTCGGATAATTGTTGTGGATAGAATAAAAATAAGTTTATAATAACTTTATATTCTTATGCAGTTACTCATTTTGAAAACATAGAAACCATCACTCACAAATACTTCATCAAGGGACATTCACAAAACGAAGGAGATAATGTTCATAGCTTGATTGAGAAAGAAGTTAAAAAAAACAAAAAAGGTGGACCAATTTATACACCATATCAATATGTAACTCTGATTAAAAATGCTCGTAAGAATGGGAAACCTTTTACCGTTAAAGAGTTAACATACGAGTTTTTCACTAATTTAAAGGCACTTCAAGAACTATGGGGATATAATTTTAATGAAGATGATGATAAAAACAATGTTATTTTGAACGACGTAAAAGTTTTACAGTTTAATAAAGCCGAACCATTTATCTTCTCTTATAAAACTTCGTACAGTCAAAGTGAGTTCAAAAAGGTTAACATAAGGAACAAACGTAAGAAAATGATGAGTCCAGAAGAAATAACTGTGACCAAAGCATTTTCACAAAGACTAGAGTTAAGTGAACGTAAGAAAAAAGACTTGCGCGATCTCATTAATAAAAACCTATTTCCTAGTTATTACGCAGATTTTTATAACTCTATACTGTAATTTTTTGTTATTATGAAAGTTTTAAGTATTTAGTTCCAAACAAGTTCCTTAATGATTGTGATAAACTTATCATATATACCTAATTATTAGGCAATTTATATCAAAGATTTAAGTTTTGTTATGCAAAGTTTATTGATAAATTATTTACCATGGTTGTGATGATTGATAATAATAATAAAAGTAGATTTTTAAGTTTAAACTCTGTAAGTTTAATTTTTAATAAAACATTTTATTCCTTATGTTGTTTTTATGTGTGGAATATAAAATTACCTTAAATAATTTAACTATTATAGTGTCTTATTTGTAAATGTAACGCATCTTACAGTCAAAACTCAGAAATATATAGACCTAAAACATAAAAGGTCTTTTTAAAAAATCCAATTTCATTAAAATAAAAACCTAAAATGCACCATGATTTAAAAATGTTTTAAATATTATAGTTTCATTTATTTAATTTCATTAATTTATTTAAAATCATCTAGGTAAATAACTAAAGTTTGATATAAAAATAACAATTTCATAATATTTTCAAAATTCAGTCGAATATCTTTTGTTTTCTACAAGATTTATAGACTTGTGAATCTTTATGCCACGCTTACCGAAAATTTGCGTTTCCTTGTTGAGTCTCTATAATTCTAAGGGTGCGATATAGGTGGTAGTCGATTCTAAAATGTCAAGTTATTAAATGTAAGTTATATAATTTAAAATGTCATAATTTACTATGTCAATATCATAATTAAAATTTGAATACATTCAATCAAAAATAAAGGTCTGATAAAATAGTGATACGCAGTGATACACAGCAATTACGTCTATCATATGTCAACATGCATATTATTATCACTTTGAAATTCCTTAACACTATAATAACATTTTTTTATTAGCCATTCACGTAACTTTTTGGTCATGAGAATCATAGAGCCGTGTTTGAACTGCTTTGGAGTTTTATTAAATATTTTTACACACATACAGTAACAACCTTTCTGATAGACAGAAGTTTTTGGTTTATGGTCTAAGACAAGCCGTTTACTATCTCTAGTGCTTCGTGGATATATATCACACGCTGACTTAAATAACTCTGCATGTTGTTTGACAAATTTATATATTTCTAATATGTACATGCCAGGGACTGTTAATATACTCAGCTTAATAAATAGGGGCTTGCATGTATCAAATGGACCTTTACCGCATATAGCACGTATACATTTTTTTTTGTGCGATGAGAACTCTATTTACTTCAATGCTGCTGCCCCACAGAACCAGACCATAATTAATATCAGACGCGACGTAATAAGCAGACATAGTTACGCTAAGAGTCGTTATCTTAGTTAAACGCCTTAAGACGAAAGCAAACCTATTAATTTTATTACAAACTTTATCAATGTGGCCAGTGAAATTTAAGTTCTCGTTAAGTACTACACCCAAAAATGAGACCATGGTAGTCCTTTCAATAGGTATGTTTTTGTACAGCACATTAATATTATTTACTGCTCGTCCTTTTATGTTAAAATTTATGAAATTTGTCTTATTCAGATTTACATTTAGATTTATTAATTTAAGATATTGAACTATATTATTAATTGTGATATTAATGTCATTTTCATAATTATTTAAATTGTCATTATAATTCCATTTAACAATAATGGAAACGTCATCTGCAAACATTATGCATTGATGTTTAATCACTCTCGGTAAGTCATTTATATATAATAAAAATAATATAGGACCTAGAACGCTACCCTGTGGTACTCCAAACTTATTTATTTTATAATTAGAACGATCGGAACGAACGATTCGGATTGGAATGTTCGGTAGTTGTCAACTTGATCTTTTGGTCCTTTTTTTAAATTGGTGTGACATAAGCCGATTTCCAGATTCTTGGCATTAAACTTTCTGATAAAGAACGCCGATATAATAAAGTCAAAGGAAACGCAAGGCTCTTGGCGCGTCTCACGATAAAAACAACAGGTATGTTGTCAGGCCCAGCTGATTTACTTAAGTCAAGTGATTTCAAAAGCTTAAATACTCCATCAAATGTGACCTCTATATCCCCTATATCAGATAGTTCATTTGAGAGGTGACATCTGGGTTAATGTACGTATGGGTAGTATTTAAAAAAGTTGACTGAAAATAATCACTAAACAAATTGCAAATTTCTGCGCCACAATCTGACGATTTATTTCCAAAACGTAATACAGTGGGATATTAATTGACTTTGTTTTTTGTTTTTATGTATGACCGAAACGCTTTAGAATTATTACAAATATTTTTTTCTACGTTTGAAATGTATGTATCAAACATTTGTTTTTCCAGAGTCTTGTCTTGTTCTCTGAGTCAAATAAATGATTGAAGGTCAGATTGATTCCCGTATTTCTTACATTTCGAGTGATACTTATGTTTTTCTTTCAAAATTTTAATTAGGGGTTTCTTATACCATAATGGATATTTAAACCTTGGTGTAAAAGTCTTAGTAGGCATATAAGTTTGACGGAGGTCAGCTAATTTATTATAAAACAATAAAAAGGCATCTTCTAACTGCTTAGAGTTAAGTTCTTGATGCCAATCAATGGCATCAAGTTTTGAAATAATAGAATTGTAATCACCAGATTGATATATAAATTTAGTAAAGGTACGACTTTAAAGAGTGTGAAGTTGAATAAATTTTGCAACCACACATAGAGCTGGATGATTAGTATCTTCGGGTATTAGCGGGTTTCCGCAGTGGTTAACAGCTAACGTGCGGTTAGAAAATATTAAGTCTAAAATTCCGTTATTTGCGTTATACATATAATTGTATTGTGATAAATTGCATATATTAATGTTATCAAATAAATTAAATTGATAAAAGCCCTGTATGTTCTCGGGAATATATGAAATGTTTTGATCACACGACTTCCAGATTATGTTAGGCATGTTAAAGTCGCCAAGAATTATAAATTTATCGCAAGGATGTTTTAATATTGATGATGATTTTAACAATATCAAAGCGCTAATTGTTATGACTAGGAAAACTTTTTTAAATCGGATTCCGATTTTATTGTAATTATATGAGACGTTGGGTTTTTTTCTTGCAAATATTTTGCATCCCTTTACCCAAACATAAGCAAACCCCTACTCTTTGGCTAGTTTTTTGGCTTTATTTAGCAACATATTGTTTTCCAGAGTAAGATGGTCATTAACAAAGATTCTATTGTCACCTTTTAAACCCAGGTCCGCTGGAACAATGGTGCGCTTCTTCGCTGCGGCTACTAAGTCCTCCTTAAGGAATCTATTATGCACTGAGATGATAATAGTTTTATTTAGTTTATCGTTACGCATAGGAATCCTCGCAATGTAATTAATTTGATTTTTTGGGGTGACACAATTGATATGATCTCCAAGCTTACTAAAAATCTCGAAAAGGTTTTCTGATGGAGACATCGGTACTCCGTTGATCTCGATGTTATTCATACGAGACCTTTGTTCAATTCCCGCATGGAGTGTTCAAAGTTCTCAAGAAGTTGCTTCAATTGAACTACATCATCTTTTGTCTTCAGCAAAGTCTGAATTTCTTGATTTATTTCCGTCATCCTACTATTCAATGATTCAACAGAGCACTGAACAAATTCTAATGAAGTCCTCATATCAGCCACTTCCGGCTTCATAAGCTTAAGATCTTCGATATCGGCCTTTATGGACTTTAGGTCGGCCACATCAGCTTGTATAGAATTGACGCTTGCTATTAAGGTAGGAAGTGAGTTCATCTGTGAAGATAAGCTTTTAAGCTCCAAAGCAATCATCTCCATGTCCACCAGTGAAAGAAACTTAATAGAAGGTGTATTTTTTGAAGGTAGGTTTAGCGGACTAACAGCTTTGGCGCCCTTGCAATATGTGCATCTCCAGTTATTTCTTCTATCCTCTCCTAACCTACGGTAGCCAGCTTCCGTTAATCCAGCGCATGGAAAGTCAAAACATTCTTGGCAAACGGAACACTTTACCCCATCTCTGAAATCTCCGTCACAGCACGTACACTTAAACATATTTTAATAGCTCACTAACAAGGTGAACAAAAAAGTTTGAGAATCGCGTTAGTGAGTAATTGCGAACTAGTTTGCGCTAGGTACGTGTGTACAGTCCGGCGTCTACGTACGTGTTGATTTACATTAAATTTATTAATAAAGGAACTTAAAGGAAAAATTAATTAAAAAAGAAAAATATTTCTGCTGCGCCGTTGACAACTGTCAAATCGTAACGACTATACATACAATGTTTATCAATATGGAATAAATCCAGGGAAGTAATGTAATAATATTTCATTTATAGAGTAAAGTGCTTTTATTTAGGCCGTAAATGATTGTTTCAGGGAAAGATGCGGGGTACAGCACATTTCAAGTTAATATGAATATGTAATATAAAGAATTTTGAGTGTTGTAGAGATCTGTTTAGATTTTTTAATGAATATCTCTGCTCCGCTACATTCACAGCCAAATTTCCTACAGTGTCAAAATTGTCCTGACGGTAGGCTGTTTAAAGGTAAAAGGGGATTAAATATACATATTAAACGATGCCATAGTAAAAGTATTTAGGCTTCACAGCCTGCCGTAGAAATTCATACATAGGCAAACTAGACATACAGTGATATCAACGCATCTGCATTTTGATTTGCAAACGAGGATACACAACCACCACTGCAACCACTTACCATCAGGTGGACTGTTTGCTCGTTTGACACGCTATTTCTATAAAAAAATCAAGAAACACACCAGATTCGATACTAGCATTAAAAATTATAGCAAGTTGCGATTGCATCTATTATAGACGCAATAACTTTAACAAAAATCCCCCATAGTTCTGCTTTTTTGTTAATAATAGTTATATATATATAGTAATAATATATATATAATAATATATAGTAATAATAGTTTTGAAATATTTTAGAATATAACCTGATAATGTTCTATGAAATGCAAATTCTTTTTTACAGACATTTACATTTTGTTTGAATAATGACTCGGCGACAGCAGTGGACGAATTGGGTGAATTTGTAGTCAAGATTGCAATGTCTATAATATTGTTCTAAAGCCGTAGCATTGTCTCCATCTCATTTTGTCAAATTATTGTTAAAATTTATTTGAAAGTTTAAGTTGTTTTGTTTCATCTAGCCAGTTTCACTATTGATCATACTCAAAGTCATTTTAGTTTTATTATAGGCATTCTTAATTTTTTTTTCTTAAATATAAAAACATGGCTGCACAACACACTCCTTTAAATATTTTGGAATATTTGTTTAAATTAATTTATTTTTTAATGTAACACTATGATTATGTTATATTACTCTATGTTTTACTAAAAGTAAAAGCGACAGACTTAATTGCTTCTGGCATTTCATACTAGCCAACATTTAATATATATAAGATATAATGGGGGGTATATTGCCATAGTTGCCACGCTTGGCGAGCGGATTGGCAACCGCAGTTTTTTATTGTTATTTTGGCTATTATCAGGAAGATGCTGCTGCCCATCTCCTGCCTGTTTTCCTTTGTCGCCTTTTACGACACCCACGGGAAGATATGGGGTAGTGGATATTCTTAACCGCCACTACACGGCTGTGGCATTCTTTGGGGGAGGCCTATGTTCAGCAGTGGACTTGTGAAGGGCTGTAATGATGATGATGAAGATATAATGATTTCTTATATTTACTCGAACACTACACATTTAAATAAAACCAGTTTTTATGGATTTATCGCGTATATTAACTTATTTTATATTCCAAACGTTTTGAGCACTTTACAGCACCCATGGTCACGGGTGGACTGAGGTGTTTGACGTCCCAATGTCATAGTTAACCAAGGCTACCTCCAGACAAAAGTTTTTTTTTTATATTTATATATTTTTTGTTGAAGGCAACGGCAGGATGACAGTGCTGCGGTAATTAGTTGTAAGCTACTACTCAGTCGGTGACCGTTTCGTTGCTTGTAATTTATTTTATCAAATATTTTTAAGCTGAGTCCGAAACTCCATTTGGAATTATTAAAATCGAACAGCAAAAAAAATAATACTAAAAATCTTTAACGCCGAAATCTAAACTAGTCTAAAGATCTTAAATCATACATCAGTGACGTCGCTAGTCAGTTTTGAATCTATCAAGGAATTACGTATGTTCACACATGTCCGGTCTCCGATGACGGCAGTCACTCTTTCAATGTCCCGCTATCAGGCACGTTCTATCAACCGGCAGTTTTTAGTCACTAAAATTTTTTATACGTGTTAGAGTCATGTTGCAGCTATATTAGTAGTATAGTTGCAGCACGAATGGGTTGGCTCGACCGTGAAAGGATCACGCTCTCACAGAATATCAGCGAAAAATAGCAGCTTAAGGCTGCTGTGTTTCGTATTGTGAGTGTAGAGAACCGGAGACCGCTTTTTACTGGGAAAAGGGCATTCCATCTTCGTCCTCACGGCTGACAACGCATTTGAATTTTGATTCTTTACTGAGGATAGATGTAGATGTCTATGGGTTACAGCAACCACTTACCATCATGCGGTATTCTATAATAAAAAAATATTTTATGATTTTTATTTATACATTTTTAATGAGTCAAAAGTACCCGGGATTTTTCAAAATTTTTAAAATTCATTAATTCGAAAATATTAATTTTATAGTAAAAGTTTGTAGGACCTTTATAATCATATAGATATTACAAAATAATATAAAAATATCTTTAGTATTTTATTATTTTTCTTTATATATTTTTAATGAGTCAAAACCATCCAAATTCAGGATTTTAAAAAATTAAAAAATTTACAAATCCGAAAATATTAACTTTATCGTAAAAGTCATAGGACTTTTTATTCGTATTTCATCAAAAAATAAAAAATAAATCCCGTTTGAAAATAATTATTCCTTACAATTGAGAAAAATCGGTTTATACAATATGGCATCAAGTTGCCTGGCAAAATGCATTTATATCACCAGTAGTACAATTTGAAGGGAATCTCATTAAAAAAAATGAGGTGGAATTGTTTTAGGTACTCATACGCCGATTCCTCCTGGATAAAGATGTTTAACAATTTTCTCTGCTGTAGCCCCACATCTTGCTGCTATATTACATAAGTTATCTCTAACAACTTCCACAAAATAAGAGAGATTAGAGCTTATTTATAACAAAGGTTGCGTGAAATCTATAGTCAAATAATTTACAATTTTTTTTTGTAATTTGTAAGTTGGGTCTGTATTTGGGAAGACCAATGGCACTTACGATCCTTTACGGCACATGGTTCCAGGGACAGTTACATTTACTTGATAAATTAGTGGCATCATTACCGTTACTGCCTATTAAAAACTATTGCTGAACATAGGCCTCCCCCATAGATTGTCTCATAGGATAGATATTTACCGTAGTTTACACGCTTTGCAAGCGGGTTGGCAACCGCAGTTTTATTTTTATTTTTAGTCGTTATTGTCGCCTCCTACGACAGCCTTGGGATGATATGGGGTAATAGATATTTTTACATCGCCACTACACGGTAACAACACAACACGAAGGGGCAGCTGGAAAGCTTCAAATATCGAACACGGCGTAAGCTCCAATTACCTTTAAAAGTTATAAATTTATTTTGAAGCTTATGACTCATTTATATATCTTTGCTTAAAAATATTTTTTATAGGATGAGGGTGACAAACGAGCATACAGTCCACCTGATGGTAAGTGGTTGCTGTGGCCCATAAACATCTACATCTATCCTCAATTACGAATAAGAATACAGATGCATTGTCAGCCGTGAGGACTTAGATGAAATGCCTCGTTTCCAAGAAAAAGGGTCTTTAGTTCTTTACACTCACCATACAAAACACAGCAGCGCTAAATTGCTATTTTATGCTGTTATTCTGCGAGAGCATGGTCCTTCAGCGATCGGGCCGACCCATTCGTGCTACAACTATACTACTAATATAGCTACAGCATGGCTCTACCACATAAAAAGTATATACATATTATATATTATGATATATGATATACTAATGTATGTCGAAACACTGTATCAAAGCAGAGCTTAATGAACATCTATGAAAGTTAAAGACCCTATTATTAAAATAATGGTTACCATAACTAACTAATGAATTATAGTATTTGATGAAAACAGTCTTTGTATAACACTGAGTTGACAAACGAACATACAGTCTATTATTAGTAAGTAGTAGCCTATTAAGTGGCTATTGCAGCCCATGAACACCTGCAACAAAATTTGATGAAATGCCTCACAGCCTGAAATTATATATATACCCTCCAGACAGCAAAACGCAACAATGCACGCTCATCTATTTAGCGACATAAATAGGTAAGAGGCTGGTACCTGTCGAACTGGGACTACTAGATAGATAAATTAATATAGAACATAGTAAAAAAGTTTTAACGATTGGTGTGAGCTGCAGCATCGGTTAAAGCAGTTATCATCATCATCAGCCCGTAAGAGTTCACTGCTGAATATGAGCCTCTCCCGTTGCTGAGAAGATTTGCTTTAATCGTCACGTTTAGCAGGCAGGTTGAAGATTGCAGAACCAGACATCTCGCCCTTTCTATATCGCTACTTGTCGCCGGTCTGGGTACGTCTGGCGTAAATGGGATGGTTATGCCGCCGTTGCGATAGATACCGAAATCTATTTTAGATATTTTTTCAAGTTATGTTATAGCCATGCTGCAGCTATATTAATATTATAGTTGCAGCATTCTTTCAGCATTCATTCAGTCTTTTAATATACATACATATAATAACATACATAAACACTCACGCCTGTCACCCAGAGAGGTAGGCAGTGACTACGGACTTCCATTTGGCGCGATCCTGACACACCTCTCTCGCCTCTTTTACATCCATATATCTACGCATACACGCTCGTCGGTTAAGGGTACTCCTAATCTGGCCCATTTTTAATGTATCGCCGATTTGGTCGATAAACCTTCGTCTAGGGCGTCCCTTCCCGACCCTGCCGTTCACTTCTGCAACATAAATTTGCTTGGTCACTCTTTCCTCGTTCATTCTT